GTGCCCGCCCGCCCAAGCGGCTACCCTGCTGAGAAATACAGTTTAAACCAGCCTAGGCTGGTTTAAGCTGGATTTTTCAGCAGGGTAGTGGAGGAGTCTATCGAGCCAGCCAGAGCTGACATCTACCCGCATTTGGCAAGTTGGCAGGTGTTAATGTAAAGCCCTGTGTGTATGTATGTATATATATATATATATATATATATATATATATATATATATATATATATATATATATATATACAGCAAACTTTCTCTAGCCCAGCTCTGGCCCACACAATCAGCTTTTACTTGGGCCACATGCCGCTTCCAGAAAAGGGTCAAACATGGACCTCATGGGTCAAGTCTCAGCCAAGTCATTCAGCCATACCTGGGCCTGAAATGACCCACGACTGCAATAAAACAGTTGAAAATCAATAAATAGATTTGTTTTTTGTTTTTCATGTTAAAGTAGAACAACACAATGTGCGGTTGTGCATGAAATGATCCAATCAGAAAAATATTATGAATAATAAAAGATCTTATAAATATTAAATATCTTTTTTTTTTTTTTTTAAACTACCTTTGATAAATGGCTAATATTTGTAAAATAATAATTAATGAAATATATGTAACGTGGGTTAAATTCGGTCATTTTGCAACATACAGGAAATGATCATTCATTAAAATTACACAATTATCTGGATTAAATGAAGGCATTAAAACAGTGGTTCTCAAACTTTTTTTTTTTTTAACCAAGAACCACCTCAGAATTATTTTTTTTTGCTTCAAGTACCACAAAAAATGACCTGTCAGCATTGGGATATAAAAATATGAGACACGCCCCCAACAACTATTACAAATATGTGGAGGAAATCAGCTTCACATGATAGAATACATAACAAACATTGGAAAATTGTAAATAAAATCAAAGGTTTAGCTTATTAAAATCAATTTACTAATCACATCAGTGCCGTTGTACATGGGTTAAAAGTGTATTTTTTTTTTACTTTAATTATTCAGCGATTCCTCTGCACACCACTAGAAGAAAGCATGCGTAAGAAAATGTATTAACATATTTCTTTACTCAATTTTTTAGTTTGTTTGTTTTGATCTATTCTTAATTAAATTATCATCAAGATTTACGAGGCCAACATAGCATTTTTTAAACATTTGCTGGGCCAAATACTACATTTGACATCTGGCCCATGTCTTGTGTGCCGCCTTAAATATAGTGCCACCTATCCCAAACCAGGGTCATGTTTGGCCTTCATGCTGTATGATAGTGCCAGATTGCTTGTTGTGCCAGCTTTATGCAAAACCTGGGCCAGAATTCGTTGCCACCTGTATATATATATATATATATATATAGTTATATAATTTACTGGAGTTAAACTGAGTTTCTGTGAAATTAAATGTCTTTTTTTAAAATATATATTGAATATATTGAATATGTTTTTTTTTTTTATTAACTCAATGCCACAAGAACGAGAGGTATTACATTTCACATTTTCATTACATTTCATTTAAATTTTCAATTTATATTTATTTGTATATATATATATATATATAAATAAGTAAAATTACATTTACATGAAATTAAATGTTTTCAGAGCATGTTTTCAGTGCTTTTTTGTTTTATGATTGTTCTAAAAGATTGACATATACTTTAAGGTCATTCACAAAATGGGCAAAGTTTGGTTTACATTAAGCCCACTTTTTCCTATATATGTATATATGGTATATTCCAAACAACATAAACAAATTAAAAATATATTGTCCTTTACAGTTCAAGTTCTCATTATCAGTATAAAACGGTACATCGAATAAACCAATTTCTATCTTAAACTTTCTATCTAAACATTTTTTTTTGTTAAAAAACAATTCCAAATCTTTCCAAATTTCTGTGCCCAACAGAATTGGTCCGGCGAATGACGTCATAAGGCTGCGACGCTCATGTTGTCATTCGCCTGAATAAAGGTTTGTGCGGTAATAGATTTGTGCATTTTAGCTTCAAAGCTGATTAATATTTAAATACAAACGCGTCTGTCGTGTTTATTAGTTTTTTTCGGGTAGCTTAAATAAAAATGCCACAATGTTATATTCGACAATAATTCAGAAGTTTATCTAACATCTTATTTGGTGTGAGTAAATCTCCTCAACTCAGGATGAAACGCGGTTTCTCTACTTCCGCTTTCTAATTACTTGACGTGTGGGCCGTTATTCAACACTTCAATTATGTCTGATGAATTGTCCTCAGACTACAATAGAGGTAAAGTTGGTTTTATATTCGCACATTCAGACTTTCCCCTTAATATTATGATTTCAGAAAAGTATTATTTGCAAACTCTAAAAAGCGAAATCATATTAGCAGCCAGTGACTATCAAAGTACAACAGTGTTCACAGTCAAATAAACTGTGCTAATGTTGTTTTCAAGTCATACTTGCATGCTAATTCCGATCAAATATTCCAAGTAACATGGTAAACGTTATAGGGACTTCAAAATAAACGAATGTGCGAATATAAAACCAGCTTTATACCTCTATAGACAACAGCGGGTGTTGTTCAATAGTCTTAAGACAAGTTTGACTTAAGCTGATGATCCACTTCACATGTTGACTACATGAAGTAGGCTACTGGGAAGTGATGATGAGAGCAACTTGAATCATTAATAGATTGGGTCACTTTAAGCTGACGACACCTGCTTGTTTAATTTGAGGACGTTTATTAATTTGTGTAACTACTAGATTAGAGATTTCAGGACACTTTAAAGGGATAGTTCACCACTAACTCTGTCGTCATTTACTCTTGCTTCACTTTATGAGTGTCTTCTGTTGAAGACCAAAGAAGATCAACTGAGGAACGCTGGACACCTGTAACCATCGACTTCCACAGTATTTGTTTTTCCTGCTGTGGAAGTCGAGGGTTACAGGTGTCCAGCGTTCTTCAAATTGTTTTCTTTTGTGTTCAGCAGACGAAAGAAACTCAAAAAGGTGTAAAGCCACTTGAAGGTGGGTTAATAGTGAGTACATTGTTATTCTTGAGTGAACTATTCTCTAACTCGAAGCCGTTAACTACGCTGTAAAGCCCAACAGACAGCTTGATCAAATGAAATGAGTGCAGTCAACGCAAAATGGACTGAAAGTTAATACTGCTCATTTGAAAAGAGGGTTGAACTCGGTGTTGAAGACAATGAGTAATGAGAGATCTTAAATCGAGTATGTACTCGTATGGATTAGTTTTGAACTCAAATGGTTTGTAGCCCCGCGATTTACGTCCCGGGAGGTACGTATTCGAGCGGTTTTTGTTTTCGCGGATCCGCGAGAGGCCGCTGTGCACGCTTTTTCGGTCTCGGGCGCCTCTCGGGAGCGCGCGCCGTTCGCGCCCGCGCTATTCTCGCGCGAAAAGCCGTCGGATCGGCCGACCCGACCGCCCTCCACCTTCCCTAAACCCAAGCGACAGTTTTCAAAAGCTGTCCAGAAAGAAAAAAAAAAAAGCAAAAGCCCTCGTCTTCGATTTCGACCGCGTTTTCGGATCCCGTCGCGTTCTTGCCCTTATTTTTCGGATTCTGTTTTTCATCTTGCCTGATTTCCGGAACCGCTGTTCCCCGGACTCGATCCCTGTCGTCATCCCCGCGGCCGGCTCCTCCTCCTCTCCTCCTCCGGAGCCTCCGCTCCGCTGACGCAACGCTGTGAGCTAGGCGGACAAACTGGTTGCAAACTCGGCCGGCGAGTGCAAAGAGGAGGAGCGGAGTGGCGCCACACCGCCCCGCAGCGTTCGCTTGAAAAAAGCTAAATGCGTCCGTACGTACCTCCGGCCACGTAAATCGCGGCCTCCAGAAACGTCCGCGGGGCTCCGTTTCCAGAATGAGCTTGGGTTGTTGGTAGCAATCGGTTTCCTCAAGCGGTTTGACTTGCCTAAACTTATTGGGTTTTACAGTGCTCAGTTAATTTGAGTTCTCTTCATTTACCGGGTTTTACCGTGCTCAAATTGCTTCGTTTACTCAAATGGAGTAAGTTCACAGCGCTCATCAAGATTAGTTGTTGAGCTTAAATGGTTTGTTGCAATCGGTTTCCTGAGTTACCTTAACTTTTCTGGGTTTCCCTGACTGCTTGACTAGCGAGCTGATTGAGACATCAATTGATTTCTGTTTCTAATGTTAATTTTTAATATATCATTGTGTTCAAACACACAGAAAACAGCCTGGAAGACGACTCATGTGACTGCTTAATATGCAGACGGCGTTTATTAAAAAGGAGAGGGAAGAACTGACGATTGAAGAGCCGCTGAGTGTGAAACGTGAATACACTGAGCAGCAAACAGGTTGGGTTTTCATTATCAAAGCTGATAGTCATTTGTTGTTTAACTCGACTGACATGAATGCAGTGGTGTAAAGTAACTAATTACAAAGATTCAAACGACTGTAATGGAGTAGTTTTTCTCAGAATGTGTAATTTACTAAGTGGTTTTATAAAAGTGTACTTTTACTCTCACAGTACATTAATCGAGTTAATAAATCACTTAAATCGAGTACGTACTCGTATGGATTAGTTTTGAACTCAAATGGTTTGTAGCCAACCCGGGCTCATTGTGGAAACGTAGCCCCGCGATTTACGTCCCGGGAGGTACGTATTCGAGCGTTTTTTGTTTTCGCGGATCCGCGAGAGGCCACTGTGCACGCTTTTTCGGTCTCGGGCGCCTCTCGGGAGCGCGCGCCGTTCGCGCCCGCGCTGTTCTCGCGCGAAAAGCCACCGGATCGGCCGACCCGACCGCCCTCCACCTTCCCTAAACCCAAGCAACAGTTTTCAAAAGCTGTCCAGAAAGAAAAAAAGTCTTCGATTTCGACCGCATTTTCGGATCCCGTCGCGTTCTTGCCCTTATTTTTCGGATTCTGTTTTTCATCTTGCCTGATTTCCGGAACCGCTGTTCCCCGATCCCGGTCGTCATCCCGCGGCCGGCTCCTCCTCCTCTCCTCCTCCGGGGCCTCTGCTCCGCTGTGAGCTAGGCGGACAAACTGGTTGCAAACTCGGCCGGCGAGCGCAAAGAGAAGGAGCGGAGCGGCGCCACACCACCCCGCAGCGTTTGCTCGAAAAAAGCTAAATGCATCCGTACGTACTTCCGGCCACGTAAATCGCGGCCTCCAGAAACGTCCGCGGGGCTCCGTTTCCAGAATGAGCTTGGGTTGTTGGTAGCAATCGGTTTCCTCAAGCGGTTTGACTTGCCTAAACTTACTGGGTTTTACAGTGCTCAGTTAATTTGAGTTCTCTTCATTTACCGGGTTTTACCGTGCTCAAATTGCTTCGTTTACTCAAATGGAGTAGGTTCACAGCACTCATCAAGATTAGCTGTTGAGCTTAAATGGTTTGTTGCAATCGGTTTCCTGAGTTACCTTAACTTTTCTGGGTTTCCCTGACTGCTTGACTAGCGAGCTGATTGAGACATCAATTGATTTCTGTTTCTAATGTTAATTTTTAATATATCATTGTGTTCAAACACACAGAAAACAGCCTGGAAGACGACTCATGTGACTGCTTAATATGCAGACGGCGTTTATTAAAAAGGAGAGGGAAGAACTGACGATTGAAGAGCCGCTGAGTGTGAAACGTGAATACACTGAGCAGCAAACAGGTTGGGTTTTGATTATCAAAGCTGATAGTCATTTGTTGTTTAACTCGACTGACATGAATGCAGTGGTGTAAAGTAACTAATTACAAAGATTCAAATGACTGTAATTGAGTAGTTTTTCCTTAGAATGTGTAATTTACTAAGTGGTTTTATAAAAGTGTACTTTTACTCTCACTTGAGTACATTTTTAGTGCAGTACTTGGCACTTTTACTCCACTACTTACCTTCAACCTGCAGTCCCTACTTTATTTTTTCTTGTCTAACCGCTTATTAAGTGGTGACGTGTTTGTGACGAATGTTTACTGTTTCCGGGTCCAAGCCGCCATTCATTTGAGTGGAGAAATCATTTGTTTATGATCGCGTTTTATTCCTATCTTTTATTAACATAAAGTCATAGTGTACAATCTTTGGGCTTGCTGCATAACAAATACCAAAATTTTAACAATTCATAACACAATGAATCACTTTCTGGCCATTGGATATTAGGCATGGACATATATATTGCGATCGTGACTTTCGAAAGTATTAAGTCGCTTTGTAAACGTTTATTATTACCATTTCATGAATCTCCCCATTCAGTTGAATAGAGAGCTTGGACCCGGAAGCCGCTCCGCGTCACACTTAACAAGCGGATGGGAATTGGAAAAATCCGTCCTGTGATTCCTGCCCAATCAGATCACACATAGAAGGTAAATCGCATCATAATGAATACCTCAAGACATGGGCGGTTTAAATTGTAGCAAACTGTTTGGAAGCATTAAAAGAGTCCAAGAAGATGTTTAAAATCTTTACAAGCATTGACCCAGAGACTGTTTCCACTGATGAGAAGATGACGGATGTTTGCTGTATGATGACTGAAATGGCCTTAAACACCCAGCAGACACAAGACGTCAACATGACGTCAAGTTGATGTTGTACCCTAACGTCGTGGGGACGTCGCATTTTGTTTGGAAATGAAAATCGGGTTCATGTCAGAACCCAACATCAAAGTCCAATCTAAAACCAACCAAATATCAACGTCTAATGATGTTACAGCTTTACGTGCTGTGGACGTTACCATTATGACGTCTATCAGACGTTGGATTTTAGTTGCCATACCTGACGAATAAATGTCAGTGTTTGACGTCAATTTTAAAGGGTCACGAAACACCAAAACACATTTTTTGAGCTGTTGACAGTCGGATATGTGTCCCACACTGCTAAAAACACTATTAGGACACCTATATTTCACTAAAAAGTGTAAATTTGTTGTTATTGCGTTATTTCAAGCAAATTCGTACTTCCGGTTTGAAACGAATTTTTGAAGCTGCACCACGGCCATAACATAAAAGCGTGTATTCCAGCATGCAGACTGGGCGTCTGTGCCAGAGTGTGTCTTATTACGTCTTACAGTGTGCTGCATTAATGCATGAGTAAAGCTTGGTTCAAACCAATCAGCGCGCTCTATTGTGCAACTTCATTAATATTCATTACTGTCACGGTGTTTAGACGACAGAGACGCCACGTTCTGTTGGCAAAACAAGCGTGAAGTGTTGCTTTTATAGTTTGCTGCCGTTAAGTTTTGTTTTCATTTTCTCTCTGTGAGAGCTCAGCTGGAGACACGCGTGGATTAACAGTGTATGCGACGCTCGACAACAATAACTTACGTGTCTAAGGAGGATTATTGTTTACCTGAGAGCTGTTCTCATCTGCAAACGCTGAGATCCGGATTCGCTTGTAGTCTCCTCTTAGTAAAGACGCGGCTCTAGTTGCTGGTGATTGTCCTGTCTCTACAGATTTGGTAAGTGAGCGACCAGTGCTCTTTGTTTATTCAGTTTGTTCTTATCGAACTATCTATTGCACCGAGTGTACTCATGTTAGCACTACAACCAAACTTTAACCTCGTGTAGGATTTTCACCGCATTTTGTGACCGGAATAACACAAGCGGTTTTCTGACACTACCAGCCGTGTGCATCTAAGTTTCCGGGAAATGCGGAGGTTTTTTTTTCTCTTATTCGCCGTGCGGTATCAAACATTGCATGAAAAATACACGCTTAGAGCAGTTCCTCGAATCAAATATCTCGTTTGTCGCGAGGGACATGAATGAATTCCCTGAATGAAAGAGCCAAACTGCAGTTAAAGTCCACCATTTAATAATTTGGCAAATAATTCGACTACAGATGTCCATGTAAACACAGTCACTTTCTCCCCTGTGTGTGTATTTTGACTCTGAAACTAGCGCGTGCCCAAATAGACACTTCCACACCAAGCCTCTTTTCTTTCTCCGACACTCCCCCCTAAACAGAGCTGGACACGCCCACTTTTCTGACTCTTTCCGAAGTAGAGGTGTGAAAACACCCTGCTGAAATGAGGGGGTTTCATGGCCCTTTAAGATGTTGGCTCGACGTTGGATTTTGGTCACTTTCTAACAACCTAAAATCGACCTTATATCAACGTCTATATTGGATATCAAAATAACGTTGTCCTTAGACCCTGACTAGACATTGAATTTTGGTCAACTGTCATCACAACCTAAATCTAACCTAATATTAACGTCTTATGACGTTGTGTGCCTGCTGAGCAATAACAAGATGCACTACAGAATGTTACGTTTACACACATCCACAAAATACATGTAAACGCATCAGCTTTTTACAGCGTATTACTCACTACTCTTGAGTACTTTTGAAATGTACTTTTTACTCATACTTTGAGTAATATTTACAACAGATACTTTAACTCTAATCGCACTAAATGTTTAGGCAAGTAACGGTACTCTTTCCACCACTGCATTAATCATGTCCCAGAATAATGTCAAATTAGTTTTGAGGAAAACATTTCATTAAGCACAAGGTAAAACATCAGGAAGTTAAAGGGGTAGTTCACCCAGGAATGAAAATTATTGGTTTATTTCTTCTGTTGAACACTACAGAAGATACTTTGAAAAAAGCTGTAAACCTGTAACCATTGACATCTATAGTAGAACAAACAAATATTTTGGAAGTCAGTGGTTACAGGTTTACAGCTTACTCCAAAATATCTTCTTTTGTGAAACTTCGAGACAAGTAAAGTGTAAGCAAATGATGACAGAATTTTCAGTTTTGGGTGAACTCTGTGTTTCTCTTAATATTAAGAAACAGGGACTTATTATTAAATGACAAGATATGTCAATAAATAATGCATAATCAATATAACAACCTTATGCACATACAGTATTATATTATTTTGAGAAACAAGTTTATGCTTCTTATTAAATGATTGACGCTTTTCAAGTGAATCTGTCAACACAGTCACTGAACACATTAGTTTAGCCGCCACATAAATAAACTGAGGGTGCTTTCACACCTGCCTTATTTAGTTCGGTTGAATCGCACTAGAGCTCGTTTTCCCTTTCGGTGCGGTTCGTTTGGGCAGGTGTGAATGCAGCAATCGTACTCGAGTGCGCACCAAAAGCGGACTAAAAAAAGCATACCGAGACCTGCGTGGTCTCTGTACACTTTCAAACAAACCCTGGAGCGGTTCGTTTGCCGTGAGAATATGATCCGAACTAAAACAGGCCCAACCGCGAAAAGTACTGCACCTTTTTGGAACAATCTAGCTGCTGTAGGCCGATGCGCTGTGCATTATGGGATGTGGAGGAAAAATATTTGTTGACAGCGCTTTACTGACAGAGAGAGAGAGGGGGAAACATTACCTGATGGATCGTTGGTAATATTTCCGCAAGATGATCATGTCGCAGTTTAGCTAAATTAATTCACTCCTCCTCCTGAAGTAACGTGCGATGCATTAAAACGTTGATTTCCAGCTGCGGCCGCACTTCATTCTCGAAATGTATAGCTTGTCTAAAGTGATGCATACAAATTATATAGTATACTATAAGCAGGCGCAGTCGTCCCTCCATTTTGTGTCCGGCTTTGTTTACTTGCGGGAGTTCATTGGCATTTTCCCGCACGTAAATTCTGACCAATCCTTTAATGTGTGTGTGTGACGAAGCCGCTGACAATATGCTAGATTATGAAATCGTCTTGACCGCGTGCGCTCTATGTTCATTATAATAAAGCCAGGACGCGCTTTTGTTATTATTCTCTGCAAGTCATCTGTCCTTATCTCTTCATTTATTGAAGCTGCGGTCATGCGTCGAGTTTCGCAGGTTGCTGCGGTGCAAAGCTTGGTGAACTCTGACCTGCGAAATCGCATCACTTGACTGCGTGAGACCGACCGAGGATCAAAACATGACCTCTCTGGACAGAAATTTAAAACATGGAGCAATCGCTCGCTTTTTTAATGCCTAATAATATTGTTTATTCCCCCCTTATTCGCAGCGCCGCACGACAGAATTTCGCACACACAAACTCTAGTGTGACCGTAGCTTAAGTGCTACAGCCAAGCACCTGAAACGTAACACCTGAAATTGTCATGAAATTAGACGATTGTTAGGAGTGGTAACCTGTTCAACGAGAGGACTGGCTGCTTCCTGGGCATTGTTAAAAGGTGAATCTCTGGAAGAAGTTTGTGCAGGTGCTGGATGGTCATCATCTGTGACATTTGTCAGGTTTTATCACTCGAATGTTGCTGCAACAGTCTATGGCAGGGGTCACCAATCTCGGTCCTGGAGGGCCGGTGTTCCTGCAGGGTTTAGCTCCAACTTGCTTCAACACACCTGCCTGGATGTTTCAGGTATACCTAGTAAGACCTTGATTAGCTTGTTCAGGTGTGTTTGATTAGGGTTGAAGCTAAAATACGCAGGACACCGACCCTCCAGGAACAAGTTTGGTGACCACTGGTCTATGGTCTTGCAAACAGCAGGCCAGGAATGACATGCTGCATGCACACAGTCTCATGTCGTGAATTAATTAACCATGTAAACAGCAGGAAAAAACAAATCAGATGTTCTATTGGAGTTAAATCGTTTGTTCTTCTGAGTTTATTGAGCCCTGCTTGAATTCCATCTCTTTTCCTGACCTTATCTGGTACACTGTTGACCCAGTCAATAACCAATCGCCAATGTACCCAGTGTCCATGGGTGCTCAACATCTTAGAGTTCAGATAAGAGGTTGAAGAGGTTGTTTCCACTGTTTTGAAAGAAGGGATACAGCGCAGATCTCTGACAGACGAGGTCTCAGTTCTTTTAGGTAAAGCAGCAATAACACATCTGCCCTCAAGATTAATAGGGCAGGAGTTTTATTCAACCTATTTCCTGATTCAGAAGAGAGATGGTGGTCTGCACCTCATCCTAAATCACAGGAAATTCAACCACCATGAGTAGTAACTGCCTTTCCATGTGCTTTTCCTGTCAACCCTTTTAACCTTCATCAGGTAAGGGGACTGGTTCACAAAAGTGGAACTCCAGGATGCTTATTTCCACATCTCAATTCACAAAAAGCACAGAAAATACCTCAGGTTTTACCACCAAGGCAATGCTGACGAGTACAATGTTCTCTCCTTCGGCCTGTAATTGGCATTCACCAAGTGTATGGATGCAGCACTCGTTCCCCTTCCCAACAGGGCATCCGGATAGCCAATTACCTGGACGATTGGTTGATCTGTTCTTTTACAGGAGCATCACAAATACGGTCTTAGCCCACTTAAAGAAATTGGGGCTGAAACTGAACAGCAAGAAGAGTTGTCTCGCTACCACAAGAGTAGTGATATATTTAGCCTCGAGTCTGAATTGTCTTACAATGAGAGCATCTCTGACTCTTCAGAGACAGTCTGCGCTGAAGAACTGCCTGTCCAAGTTCCTGAAAGAGGAGCAAGTTTCAGTGAGCTTGGGTCAGAGTCTGCCCCAAGCAGCAGCCAGCCAAGTAGTGCCACTGGGTTTGCTTCACATGCACCCGATCTAGCAGTGGTCATAAAAATGTGAAGATTTAACATATTTTGGGTAGTACCCGTTTCAGGATCTTAGCTGGTATAGGGTCTAGTATGTTACGATTTAGTGATTTAGGATGTCTGCTGTTTTGTTCTGTTATACAATAAAATTTGGTCTTTTTATTTACGTTAGGTCTGATGCCGTTGAAAAAGGAGCAAGATTTCACTGAAATGGATGATAATGATCAGCTTGAGAACCATCACGACTTAAGAAAATGCACACAGACTGAAAGGACTTCCTCCCAAAAAACATCTCCGAAGAGAAAACCTACAAGTCCCGTCTCCTGTAGCCAGTGCGGGAAAAGTTTCGATCGAAAGAAAAAGCTGGATGTCCACATGACGATTCACACCGGAGAGAAGCCTTTCAGCTGCCAACAGTGTGGAAAAAGCTTCACGCAAAAAGGCAACCTTAAAGTCCACATGGGGATTCACACGGGAGAAAACTCGGTCAGCTGCCAACAGTGCGGGAAAAGCTTCACGCAGAAAATCAACCTGAAAGTTCACATGAGAATCCACACCGGAGAAAAGCCGTACAGCTGCGGTCAGTGCGGACAAAGCTTCACCCACAAGAACAACCTCAACGCCCACATGAGGAGTCACAGCGGACAGAAGATGTTCATGTGCGGTCAGTGTGGAACGAGATTCACACGTAAAGGAGGCCTCGAGAACCACATGAGGATTCACACTGGAGAGAAGCCCTTCAAGTGTGGTCAGTGCGGACGGAGGTTCACACGTAAAGCGTCTCTTGGTACCCACATGAAGATCCACACTGGAGAAAAGCCGTTCCCATGTGATCAATGTAGAAAGAGTTTCAGGCGTAAAGTGACGCTCGATAGCCACAAGAGGATTCACACCGGAGAAAGGCCTTTTGTATGCTTTCAGTGTGGAAAGAGCTTCAGATTTACAGGAAACCTTAATCAGCACATGAGGATTCACTCAAACAAACGCACACACAATCTAAACGGTTTTAAATGTCTTCAGCGTGGAGGAAGTTTCAGAGACTTTAGGAATCATTTATTAACTAAAGAGAAGGCTTTCATGTGTCGTTGCTGTGGAAAGAGTTTCACTAATTCAAGAAACCTGAAGCTTCACACCGGAAAAAAACCTTTTAAATGTCTTGAGAAGAGTTTCACACATCTGAAAAATCCCTTGCCTGGTCGCTCTGGGAAAAGGTGGTTAAATTGTGATCAGCGCGATAAAACATTTATTTTGGCATCACACTTACAGATACACTTGAAAAGTCATGCCGATTTCAGACCTTATTTGTGTTGCTCGTGTGGAAAGAGATTTCAATGGCTCAGCAATTTAAAATGGCACCAGATAGCGCGTATCTGTGTGAAAGCAAGGCTTCGATCACACAACAGCTGAATGAAGGAACGTCTTTACTTTTTCTTTTGTAAAAAAAAAAAAAAAACTACTCAAAAATATTTTTGGAGTTTATATTTTTGAACTTGCCTTCAGATTTATTAATCAGCCCTGGATGTCGTTTTTGTAAAGACTTATTCTACTTATTCAACTAGTAGTATACCTCCAAAACCGAGTATTCTCGAAGTGAGCGAAGTACCTACATTCCTCTTGTCAAGAGTTCCCACTCAGCAGATGATTGATAATAAAGCGTAGTTGGCATGCTGTCCTGGGAGAGAGCCCTGAGCTCAGAAGATCCTCGAGCCTGGGGCTCCCTCCCGATAGAAGGGTGAGAGAGGAGTTTGAGTTAATGCTGCGCGAATGTCCACTAAAGTTCAGATTTTCGAACTCATTCGATTTGCGCGTCAAACACTCAATTCGCCTCTTTGCATTGACTTAACATGTAAATCATTGGCGCTTGATGCTTCTTCTGCATCTGGTCTTAACGCATCTCTCAAAACTATGCAAGCTCTGTGATTGGTCCTATTGGTATCGTAGACAAGTGCGGGCACACCAGTGAGCCCCAGGGCCCGGTTTTTCAAAAGTAATCCACTAGGATTTTGGATAAGGGATTGGATCAAATCTTGAAAATGGGTTTTTCGAAAGAAAAAACGGATTACATAATCGGATTAGATCACGTAATCCAATCTTGGTTTTGATCCGGATCAAACCTTTAGTTTGGGTTTTTCAGACCTTTTTTGTAGGATCTGGATCACTTTGATCCAAAAAACCTGGATTAAACTGATCCCATCAGAAGGGTGAATTTAGCGTGGATTTCATGCCTAAAATGTAATGAAAACTTAAAAAATGTATTAAATAATACTATTTTTGGATCATGCAGTATCTTACGAGATATACTATTTATTTATAAGGTTTTAATTTTATTTGTTCATCTGTCAGGCTATAGTGAGTATTGGCTTTAACATATTTAGCCTTTCTGTATAGGCCTCCAGCAAAGTAGAAAGAGTTTGGCCTCATAAAATAATCCCCTAAACAGCTGTCAAAACTGACCAAAAACAATCAATTTTATTCTGTCACTAATTGATATATATATATATATATATATATATGTATTCATCACAATGGAAAATATTTTTCTTATTAGAATATTTATTAATGATGATAGCGATTACAGAATAAACAAAAAATGCAAGAAATGGCAATGACTGATTTTTGAAATCTCTTTCAACAATTGCAAAAAGAGACTGAAAGGGCAGAAGCACAGCTTCGCCTGGCAGAGGAACAACTGACTCTAACCAAACTGCAGCAAACCAAGGCCAGACTTGAGATCCCCCTCCTAAAGTATACGCTTCACATCAGATGAGGAAGTCTGAGATTATTGTGGAGTTTTTGACATTAAGTATTTTTTTTTATTTACATCTATATTTGAAACTTATTATAAATATCCTCAATGTACAGTGTTTGTGTTGTAGGTCTCAAATGAGCGGACTGCTGGAAAAGGATGGGGTGGGCTTTTTCTTGTTTTTCTTATTTATTATTATTATTAATTTAATATTAATTACATTTTCTTAGTTTTCATTTAAAAAAAATAAATTATATTGGCCCCACGCTGGCTATTCTACTTGTCGCTCTTTACATATCTATAGTTCTACATTGTGATTTCCTATCCTGTTTGAGCACTGGTAATCCAGATTTAGTGATCCTGAAAAGTTCCTATCCAGATCAGATTGATCCAATCCAATGTTGCTTTGAAAAACTGGCTCAAAAAGTAAGCTGGATTACCTGATCACGGATCGCAAAAACAGAATTACTAAATCTGGATCAATTTGATCCGGATTAAACCTTTTGAAAAACTGGGCCCAGGAGAAGAGCAAGCCCATTTGAGCCAATGTTTAACAAGTGTGCATATGGAAACTTTTGCTCTGTGTTTACCTTATGATTTAAGTTGTTGCACATCTGCTGGTTTCCACCTCTGGTTCCTCCCGCCTTCTCTGCCTCTTGTGCATTAAGGTAGCATTTCAAGCATTTCCGATGTAAATAAAAACACCCGCAAAGAAACTTGACTCAGAAGAAGATAGAAACCTTGCCAGCTAGCGACAGTAGGTGTTATTGTCAGAGCAACACAAACCGAATGCAGAAGTATAAATGCAGGGCTACGCACAAGGCATGCACCATGGGTTCATGTCGCAGAAGTTAAAATTGGTGAGTAACAATACACACTGTATAGTGTGTTCAAGTATTATTCGGTCATTCATTCATTCATTTTCTTGTCGGCTTAGTCCCTTTATTAGTCCGGGGTCACCACAGCGGAATGAACCGCCAACTTATCCAGCAAGTTTTTACGCAGTGGATGCCCTTTTAACCGCAACCCATCTCTGGGAAACATCCACACACACATTCATACACATACTCATACACTACGGACAATTTAGCCTACCCAATTTACCTGTACCGCATGTCTTTGGACTGTGGGGGAAACCGGAGCACCCGGAGGAAACCTACGCGAAGGCAGGGAGAACAGGCAAACTCCACACAGAAACGCCAACTGAGCCGAGGTTCGAACCAGTGACCCAGCAACCTTCTTGCTGTGAGGCGACAACACTGCCTACTGCGCCACTGCCTCGCCCTATTCGGTCAGTCGTACCTCATAAACGTTTCTGTAAAAGCTGTTGTATTGTTTAACTAATCAACAAAGCTTTTTGATTTTAAAATGTTTATCTATCCAAATCTTTCACTCAAATCGTGTTCAAGAAAATAGGTCATGTGCCTGATCAACACATGAAGAATTGTAATAACGGCTGTGCTGAAAATCACACATATGAAAGCTGAAACTGCTAGTCAGTAACAGCGATGACAGACTAGTCTGCGATAGCACAGCGGAATTCAGCGCTCATAGTTTGCCCTATTTGAAACTTATTACATTTATATTCTAACACACGTCAACAGATATCCACATCCTCACAACTAAAGCTGTACTAATCATTTTATAATAAAGATTTGGATTCAGACTTCTCTCTGTAGTAGCGGTGTTTTTTAATGACAGAATAAGAAATGTCATTAAGCTGCGTTCACACCAGATGCGGAAGAAGCGTCAAGCACGAGTGATTTACATGTTAAGTCTATGCAAAGGTGCGAATAAACATCCTGCTGCATGATATGTGCGAATGAGTCGGCGTGAATGATGGGTTTCGCGTGAAGCGCCATGAGTTGAGCATTTTGCGCGTTTGACGCGCTTAACGTGCCTATCGCTTGTTTCGTGTGAATCGCACAGGTTCGAAAATCTGAACTTCAGCGAACATTTGCACCGCGTTAACCAATCAGGAGCTTGCTCGTGTGGGGGCGTGATTATGACGTAGCGCCTGTTGTTGGGTAAAGTCTAGATTGGATATGCGGCTGGCCAGAAGTGTGATATAGCAGCATTTTTTATGACACTGTGTAACAATAATTAATATTTTCACAGTACTGTGACGGTTGGGGTGGGGGTAGGTGTTAAAATACTATTTATTGGGTATTTTAATAGATAACATAAATAATACTCGGTACACCTACTGTTTTTATGTTACTGTGACGATTGGGTTTAGGGTTGGGATGGGGGTAGACGTTAATAAAATGTTAAATTTGATAAATAATAGAAATAACTCTCGTTAACTTCCGGCCGCAAACGTATCTGATCTAGCAACAACCCTGTTGTTGGTGTCTCGGGGAAAAATCCTTCTGCTGACACCGACAACAGTTCATCAAACGGGGCTTGGCTTAGTCAGAAGCACCGCTGAAAGCCTCCATCTTCCAGGTTAAGATTCTGGAAGAGTTGATGAGCTCACAGAGCTTTGTGCACCTCTAAAAGGATCTAGTGGACTCAGACACGGCTCCAAACAAATCAACGCTGTTTATCAGCCTTCCTAAAGCACATAAACACAGCTATTCTCTCAATAAAATCCATGTTAGCCATTTAGCAACGAAGCTAGAGTCACCGGGCAGATGAAGCCCTGCCCATCACGCGAATCCCCGTCTGTTCTGAAGTGAATTTGACACGCGAAAAAAGCGGATAAACCTAAAATGTTCACGCACGAATATCGTGATTTATCCGCGTCTGGTGTGAACACACCATATAATGAATAAATGTACTGTCTTGATACAGAATGCTGGTTTAAGCTGTAAGCTGGTTCTTTGCTGGTCATGGGCTGGAGTCACAGCGGACAGCGGTTCAGTGTGGAACGAGATTCACAGGTCAAGTAACGCCCAATTATCTGAGAATTCACTCAAAAGTGTTGAAATTATTGTTGAAAAATAAAACCATTTCAATCACACGCAACCTTGACACACAAAGACAAATTATGCATCCGTATAACAACAAAATATGTCTGCGACACTGGAGAACAAAAACGTCTATTTTTAGGTATATTGTTGGGTATAGTCAACAATACGATGTAAATTGACATTGACCTTTCTTTTAAAATAGTAGTAAATCATAGACTATGTTCCATGAAAATATATTGTAAACTTTCTACTGTAACTATATCAAAACTCAATGTTTGTTAGGGTTGAGTATCGTTTGGGGTTGTTTCGATACCTGTGCTAAATCGATACTTTTAAACTGGTACCGGTGCCTGAACCGATACTTATGAGCGACAAAATTATGGTGGACGACTCTAGAACAATCTTCTATTTGACAAAATCTTTTAAAAAATAATTTTGACTAGAACAATATAATTCGAATTTAACGTAAACATCAATTTATGTTTTATATATTTGAATTACTTTAAGATGTGTCCGTTGATCATTTGTTTGTTAGCATGAATTTAAGATTTGCATTATGAAATTACATTAGCTTACTACTAACCTGTGGAAAGGCTGTCATCAAAATACCGAATTGAGTAGGCAAAATCTGATATGAGGTAGGAGAGAAAAGAAGAACGTGTTCATCAGACGCTGGATTCGAACCGGGTTCACGATCGATCGCGTTAAAAGATGTTGCCTTGGGCCTTACAAGATACGCCACTCACGCTGCTGTCTGTCGCACTCTTTAGTTATGT